AAACAAAGAAGTGTAAAAAACAAAAACAAAACACCTTTCACAGCTAATAATTCCAAAGTTGTCAGGGAAAGTATATTTCAGCCGCCAAATGCCTGGGATGTACTTTCTTCACTAGGGAGGGCATTTCCAAAAACAGGGAAACACCTCTGAGAAGAGGTGTTAGAAATTCAGCTCCACCGAGCTGATATGGCTCATCTTGGCTTGAGCCCAGCAGAGTAAACATCCAGTGTCCGCAACGAAAGGATGAGGCAGGTATGGCTACATTGCGAAAGCTTTATTCCTAAGCTATGCAGAGAGCATACAAATATACATCTTGTCTCTGTGAGAAGCAGAGAGCAACTCCAACAAAGAACGACAGAACAAAGGAAACAGGAAACCAGTGTACGTCACATCCCGTCTCCCTTTCCCGTGGGAACCCAACAGTAACTTGACTGTGCTGGTCCCGGGGGTAAGGTACCTTGGGTGTAGCAGAGTCCACACGAAGGGGGGCAAGGTCCGAGGCAGAGAGCCGGGCGGGGAACAGGAATGCTGGAACAGGAGGCTGTGCAGGGAACAGGAACACCGGATGGTCGGGAACAGGAGGCCGAGCAGGGAACAGGAGTACCGGATAGTCAGGAACAGGAAGCCGAGCAGGGATCAGGAACACAGGAAGGTCCGAGCCAACAACGACGTTGCTCCCGCAACCTGGGGCCGGGCTGACTGGGCTTTTATCCTCTTCTAAGGCCAGGGGCGGTCCCGGTCCCCAGGAGCCCCGCCTCCTCTGGCCTTAAGGCGAGCACTCCTCCTGGGGGCAACCAGTTCCCTTCGCCTCTCTGCCCTAAGCCTCTGCAGATCAGGAGAGGCCGAAGGGTTACTGGGCCCTGGAGGAGGCTCACCTGTGGCCACTGAGTCATCAAGCCCCTCTGGGGCCCGAAGGGCTTCACCTGGGGCCAGCTCCTGATGCACTGCCACAGGTGCAGGCTCTTCAGCATCAAGGCCTTGCCCCAGTTCAGCCGGCCCTGGAGGCGGGGACTCCTGTGCAGGCCGGGATTCCTCTGTTTCATCCTCCGAATCGGAATCCCAGGCCATCACACCACCCCCCTCCCAGGCCCCCCCCTCAACCGAGGGTCCGGACCCGGCTTGCCGGGATACGTCGCATGGAACTCTCGGAGGCAGGCAGGTGCATGGACATTGGACGCTGGTTCCCAGGAACGGTCCTCCGGTCCGTACCCCTTCCAGTCAATGAGATACTGCAGCTTTCCCCTGCGGTATCGGGAGTCCAGGATGCGTTCCACCTCGTACTCAGGCTCTCCCCGAACCAACACTGGCTGCGGTCGGGGACGGTTCTGGTGGAACTCGTCGGGTGGGGCCACCGGACTCAAAAGGGACCTGTGGAAGACCGGGTGAACCTTCAGGGTTGCGGGTAACCGGAGACGGAATGCCACAGGAGAGATTTGGTCTACGATAGGGAACGGGCCGGTGAAGCGGGCGTCCAACTTCCGCGAAGGTCGAGAGGGGTGGAGGTGGCGAGTGGAGAGCCAAACCAGGTCACCGACGCGAGTTCCGGCCCCACCTGGCGGTGGCGGTCGGCCTGGGCTTTGTACGCTTCCTTGGCCTGGTGCAGTTGCTCCACCAAAAGCTGTTGCTGGGACTGGAGCTCTTGAAGCCACTCCGTCACCGCCGGGACCGCGGATGCCGGCAGCACCTCTGGAAACAGCCGTGGATGATAACCATAACTGGCCTGGAACGGGGTCTGCTGGGTGGACGCATTCACCGCGTTGTTATAGGCGAACTCCGCCAATGCCAGGTGGTCGACCCAGTCATCCTGCTGGTAGCTGCAGTAACACCGGAGGTACTGCTCCAGCACCGCGCTCGCCCGCTCCGTCTGGCCATCGGTCTGTGGGTCTTTGGCTGACGAGAGGCAGACCTCTGTCCCGAGGGTCTGGTGTAATGCTCGCCAGAACCGGGATGTGAACTGAACGCCCGGTCGGACACCACGCGCTCAGGTAGTCCATGCAGGCGGAAGACATGCTGAAGGTACAGCTGAGCAGTTTCCTTGGCTGTGGGTACAGATGGACAGGGAGCGCAGTGCACCATCTTGGTGAAATGGTCGGAGAAAACCAGAAGGCAGGTACAGCCACGAGACGAGGGTAAGTCCACTACAAAGTCCAACGAAACTGTGTGCCAAGGGCGCGGTGGAACTGGCAATGGCTGAAGTAGGCCGGGGGTCGCCCGGTAGGCCCCTTGGCGCGTCGGCAGACATCACAACCAGCAACGTAGCGAGCCACGTCAGCCTTCAGGCGGGGCCACCAAAACTCACGACTGACCAGATGGGTGGTCCGATACCGTCCAAAGTGCCCCGCTGCCGGGGCATCATGGGCCATCCGGAGAACCTCCAGCCGCAGTGGCCCTGGCGGGATGTACAGACGACCGTGGTGCAGCAGGAGGCCCTGATGCAGGACCAGCCCCGGATACTGTGGGCTGGACCCTTCAGCCAGCTCCCGGAGTCGCTCCTGGGCCCAAGCGCCGACCCGCTGCTGTTCCCGCACCCGAACCTGCAGTGGCTGCGCCTCCTGGGTGGCCAGGAATGCGGCCGGAGGTAGGATCGTGGCGGGTTCTGCTTGCTGTACCGTGTCTGCGTTGTCTTCAGGTTTCCGGGACAGGGCATCCGCCTTCAGATTCTGAGAGCTAGGGATGTAGCGGATCCGAAACTGGAACCGGGAAAGAACTACGCCCAGCGGAGGGGTCTTTGGTTGAGCTTGCGGGTGGTCTGGAGGTCCTCCGGGTGCCGGTGGTCGGTTCTTTCCTCCTCCGGATGTCGTGCCCCTCAAGATGGTGGCGCCAGACCTCAAAGGCTACCTTGATGGCCAGTAGTTCCCGCTCCCACACAGTATAGTTACGCTCCGCTGGTAGGAGCTGGCGGGAATAGAAGGCACAGGGTAAGAGTGGCGCTTCGGGCCCAATCTGTTGAGACAAGACGGCACCGAGAGCCGTACTGGAGGCGTCGGTCTCCACCACAAAGGGTCGAGAGGGGTCAGGATGTTGTAAGATTGGTGCCCTCTGGAAACAGGCCTTCAACCCCTGAAACGCCTCCTCTGCCTCCTTGTCCCAGGAAAACGGCGTCTTTGGGCGCAGTAGCCGGGTCAACGGGGTGGTGCGATGAGCATAATCAGCGATGAAGGTCCGGTAGTAATTGGCGAACCCCAGGAAACGTTGTAGGTCCTTGCGGTTCCGGGGTGCCGCCCATTCTTGAACCGCTGTCACCTCCCCGGGTCCATTTGCACCCCATCCGGAGAGAGCCGGTGACCAAGGAAGTCCACAGTCCGCTGATGGAACTCGCACTTGCTGAGCTTTGCGTACAAACGGTGCTCACGCAAGCGCTGCAGCACGGTCCGGACATGTCCCTCATGGCGAGCCGGGTCACGGGAGTAAATCAGTATGTCATCCAAATACACCACCACGTACTTGTCTAACAAGTCCTGAAACACGTGGTTGATGTAGCGTTGGAACACAGCAGGCGCGTTGCACAACCCGAAAGGCATAACCAAATATTCGAACTGCCCGTACCGGGTCCCAAACGCTGTCTTCCACTCATCCCCGGCTCGGATCCGAATCAAGTTGTAGGCCCCCCGGAGGTCCAGCTTGGTGAACACCTGTGCCCCTTGCACCCGCTCCAGCAGCTCCGAGATAAGGGGCAAGGGGTATCGGCTCTGGGACGGTAATTTTGTTCAAGGCTCGGTAATCATGGCAAGGGCGGAGTTCCCACATTTCTTCTTAACGAAAAGCACTGGTGCCGCGGTAGGCGAGGTGGACGGCCTAATGAACCCACGCTCCAGGTTCTTGCGCAAGAAGTCCTGCAAAGCCTCGCGCTCTGGCTCTGTTAGAGAATATAAGCGACTCACTGGTAGAGGCGCTCCGGGTTGGAGGTCTATGCCGCAGTCACAAGGCCGATGCGGCGGCAGCTGGTCTGCCCCCCCGTTCCTCGAACACGTCCTGGTAGTCCTGATACACGGCTGGGAGCGTGGGTGCTGCCTCCTCTGAGGGCGCGGCCGCCAGCGTCCCGGATTGAGCATGGGAACATGGGTCTGGGAAGTGCACGGTCCGTTTGACCCAGTGAATCTGAACGTTGTGGGCTTCCAGCCAGTCCATCCCGAGCACCAGGGGAAAGCGGGGCATAGAGGCAATGTCCAAAGTTCGCAACTCCCGGTGCTGCTGGAAACACAGGACCAGGGGCTGGGTCTCCTGAGTAACGGCACCTGAACACAGAAGTCGTCCGTCAATCGCTTCCACCTGGACCGGTACTGGCTTGTTCCAAGTGGCACCTGATGATGGGCGGCAAAAGCAGCGTCCATATAAGAGCGGGTTGCCCCTGAATCCACCAAAGCATGGGTGGGGATCCAGGGCCCACCTGGAGGGTATAAACGTACCGGAACCATAAGATGTTGCGAGTCCATTGATGCAGGCCCATTCTGCGCGGTTTGGGACCCCGGCAGCTAGGGCCATCAGCTACTGGGGTTGGCGGTTTCCCTGCGGCTGGCGTTTCTCAGGGCAAGACCGAGCGAAGTGTCCACTTCCGCCACAGTAAAGACAGAGATTTCCCTCCCGACGCCGCGCCTTCTCTGCGGGGAAAGGCGTGGCCGCACTGCCCCGAGCTGCATAGGCTCCTCCGTTAAATCAGTTGTGACCGTGGGGCTGCCGGAAAAGCTGGTGCCGTGAACTGGAAGTGTCGGCGACCCCGGGCCTGACGACGATCCTCCAACCGGTCGTCTATTTGTAGACTCCGTTGAATGAGAGTGTCTAGCGTGGTGGGGCGTTCCATTGTGGCCAACTGGTCCAGTACCTCGTCCGAAAGCCCTTCGAGATACTGGTCCCGCAGTGCCGAATCATTCCAGGTCAAGTCCTGTGCCAACAGCCGAAACTCCGTGGTATATGCGGCCACCGTGGACTTGCCCTGTTTCAAACGCCGAATCGCCCGGTTGGCTTGACCCCTTTCTGGGGGTTGCCGAACGCGGCCTCCAAACGATTGCAAAACCCCGTATAGTCTGCCAGCAAGGGGGAGTCTTGCCTGAGTAGCGGCAACGCCCACTCTGGCCGCCTGGTCCTTTAACAAACTAATCAAAAAGTGCACCTTGGTGCGGTCGTCAGGAAAGTTCCGGGCTCGCCCCTGAATATACAACTTGGCCTGGGCCAGGAACATGGGAAAGCTGGCCGGGGCTCCATCAAATTTCTCAGGCAAAGCCACTGGGTACTTGCCAGGAGCCGGGGCGTCGGCCCCAGGAGCCGGTAGGGCTTCCAAGCGTTGTTGAAGTGCCACAACCGCGTCACTGAGCTGCTGCACGGTGTGAGTCAAGGCCTGGTTCTTCTGGGCCAAAGCCACCAGTGCAGCCGCCTGGTCAGCCATGGCCTCTGGCTCTTCCCGAACGCACCCCTACGAAGGGGAGTGCGGGTTTGGCGGGAGCAAACTGTGCTGGTCCCGGGGTAAGGTACCTTGGGTGTAGCAGAGTCCACACGAAGAGGGGCAAGGTCCGAGGCAGAGAGCCGGGCGGGGAACAGGAATGCTGGAACAGGAGGCTGTGCAGGGAACAGGAACACCGGATGGTCGGGAACAGGAGGCCGAGCAGGGAACAGGAGTACCGGATAGTCAGGAACAGGAAGCCGAGCAGGGATCAGGAACACAGGAAGGTCCGAAGCCAACAACGACGTTGCTCCCGCAACCTGGGGCCGGGCTGACTGGGCTTTTATCCTCTTCTAAGGCCAGGGGCGGTCCCGGTCCCCAGGAGCCCCGCCTCCTCTGGCCTTAAGGCGAGCACTCCTCCTGGGGGCAACCAGTTCCCTTCGCCTCTCTGCCCTAAGCCTCTGCAGATCAGGAGAGGCCGAAGGGTTACTGGGCCCTGGAGGAGGCTCACCTGTGGCCACTGAGTCATCAAGCCCCTCTGGGGCCCGAAGGGCTTCACCTGGGGCCAGCTCCTGATGCACTGCCACAGGTGCAGGCTCTTCAGCATCAAGGCCTTGCCCCAGTTCAGCCGGCCCTGGAGGCGGGGACTCCTGTGCAGGCCGGGATTCCTCTGTTTCATCCTCCGAATCGGAATCCCAGGCCATCACATTGACTGTGGAATGAAAACATAGTCTTGTGACTACCAGCTGCTGCTCAGTGAGGGAAACAGAAACCAACACTTCCATGGATCAACACCATCTGGGCATCCCCCACTGGCAGCACTAGCAGCAGGACTTCCCTTGCCAACTGTAGAGTCCAAGATGGCTGATTTTTGGAGAAGCGGGGGGCGGTCTGCCCCGGGTGTCATCCCTGAGGGGGATGACATCACTGCAGGTGGCACCCCCCGGGATGCTCACTGCCAGCACACCCCCGCGGGCGGCTAGCCCTGCCATCGTGGGCTGCTCCGGATGCCAGAGCAGCTAGCTCCGCCTCTGTGGAGAAGGCACACTTTTTGGTATTGGGACCCCAAGCCATTTAGCATTTTAAACATTAGCACCAGCTCTCTGTCACATTTCATGCAGGTGGGTGGAGACAGCCCAAAGAAGGAGATTGGGCGGGAAGAAAATGGGGGAGGAAAATCCTTTGCAAGTGATTAGTTCAGAACTCTATATTTTCTCTGGCAGCCTGCTGGGTAGAATGTGTGTGTGTGTGTGTGTGTGTGTGTGTGTGTGTGAGAGAGAGAGAGAGAGAGAGAGAGAGAGAGAGAGGGAGGAATGGGGTGGCACACATGGGAGGAAAGAGGTGTGGGGAAGAGAGAAGAGAGTCATTGCCCACCTTTGGCTTCAGCCCTTGTCAGTCGCTAGCTTGATTGATTGATTGATTGATTGATTTCCCACCTTTTTCCGTAGACCAGCTCTCAAGGCAGCTTACACAAATCAAATCCTGTATTTTATTCTGTGGACTGCCTAAGGTTCTTATGATGAAGGGTGGTATATAAAACAAACAAACAAATAAACACAAAAAAGTTAAAAACATTAAATTTTAAAAAGTTAATAGTTAAAAAATAATTAAACTCTAATAGAATGAAAACAAAACAAAAACTAATTTATTAAAATACAATAAGAACAGCACCACACTATTAAAGCCCTTTCCTCAAAAAACAACCAATCAGAATAAGAACAGCTTCACCTGCCAGTGGAAAGACAAAAAGGGAGCCAATCCCATCAAATGTGCCTGAGAGAAGGGACTGCCTCAAAGATTTCAGAGACCAGGCAGGTTCTTATGTGGGGGGGATATAATCCTTTGGATAGCCTGGACCTAAGCCGTATGCACTGCTCAACTGATTACCTTTGAAGGAATGTGATTCTTGACAGAAAAAAGCTTCCTAACTCTGACTCAATCCAGATCTGCTTGGCTGCATCATGCACATACCCTCGGTTCATACCCCTTTCACAGTGACATTGTTGGCATACAGTAACCTTGTGAATATTAAAGCCAGTGTTCCACAACCGGCAGAAGTGCTCGGTGTTAAATGACGTTTGGTAAGCCACACAATTGTGAAACCTGCATGTACTCCACCTTGCCTTGATTTTTCTAAAGCAAGCTGCTGGTGGAAGCTTTGTCCAGCTTTCAAATACCCTGATACTTATCTGTCACAATGCCTGTGGAGGTGTTAGTGCTTTGTTTCATTCTCCAACCCAAAGGCTACTGGTGTGCTGTGGTGCTTGTTGTTCTCTTGGAATTGATGGATTCCACCTGATTAAGAATTTATCGCAAACTCTGGAGTCAAAGTAATCTCCTGTGGGCACTTTTCATACTGCACAAATGCATTATCAATAGATCTGGAATAGGCCACATTTGTGCTGATTATCAAAGGCTCAGAAGGACAATCTCAGCAAGGACAGAAGAACTTTGATTTTAGTGAGTGATGTGATGATAATATAAGCCTCTATTAGATGTTTTGAACCCTGAACCACCAGGAATCAGTGACCACCAAGCTCAGGTAATCCTAGGAGCTGAGGTATTAATTTAGCTCAGGGATGGTGAACCTTTGTCTCTCCAGATGTTGCCAAACATCCCTGGCCTTTGACCATGCTTTCTGGGACTGATGGGAGCTGTAGTTCAGCAGCATTTGGCGGAACAAGGGTTGCCCATGTGCTCTCCTGCTGAATTCCTTTCCACCTAGCCTGTCAGACAGGGTTGTTGGATATATAAAATGTGAGGTCCCCCTTGATTCTTGAAGGGAGGGGAGTGGACAATTTTTAAATAATAATAATGATACGTTTCAGTCTTGAAGCGATTATGAATCTGACTCCTCCCCAATCCCTTCATTGTACCCAGCTTACATGGCTTCTCACACCAAATAAGTAGTCTCCCCCCGTATACATGTGACATATCTTCTTTACATGCTTAGAAGAATCATAGAACTGTAGAAGTTTAGATCTGGAAGGGACTTTGGATTCCATCTAGTCCACCCCCAGCACAGGAAGTGTACCACCACCACCACCACCACCACCAATACTCTATGTATACCCCACCCATCTCGCTGGGTTTCCCCAGCCACTCTGGGCAGATTACAGCATATCTAAAAACAAAATAAAAACCCCCTGATACAGGGCTGCCTACTAAAGTATCCCTGACAGTTGGCTTACTCATCTTCTGAGGGAAAGTGGACTAATGTTGAACAGCTTTTACTGATAGGGAGTTTCTTCTAATATTTAGTTTCTTCTAATATCTGTTTCCTTCCAATTTAAATCCATTCATATTAGATCCCTGGGATAGTTCAATCGGTAGAGCATGAGACTCTTAATCTCAGGTTGTGGGTTTGAGCCCCACGTTGAGCAAAAAGATTCCTGCATTTCAGGGGGTTGGACTAGAAGACCTTCGTGGTCCCTTTCAGTTCTACAATTCTATGATTCTAGTTTTGCCCTCTGGAGCAACAGAAAACAAACCTGCTCCATCTTATTCATGACAGTCCTTCAGATATCTGAAGGCCACTATCATAGTCTCCCCTTACAGCCCTTTATGGAACTCAGTAACCCTTCACACACAAAAGGTTCCAGGTTCAATCCCTGGCATCTCCAGGTAAGGCTGGGAATGTCCTGAAACCCTAGAGAGCGACTGCCAGTCAGTGTAGACAATACTGAGCTAGATTGACCAACAGTCTGATTTGTGGTAAGGCAGGTTCCCATGTTCCTTCATCTTCTCTCTTAAAGACTACTTTTCATCTGTTCCCCATAGGTTTTGTTTCCAGGCCCCTTACCACCCCAAAGCACAGCAGTGCTTGAAAGAACCAACCTGACTGTTCAGTATTCACAGCTGTAGGGGAAGCACCCAGATGGGTCCTGGAAGAAAAAGCAGCTCCAATGTCCGCCCTCCCCCTTCTCTCCTTTTAAAAAACAACCCTAGTAAATCACGAAGTGCTCTCATTCTACTTTGTTTTGAAAGAATAATTCTGAAGGTGGTAGCAATGAATCACTGTCTCTAGGCTGAGGACTTGCAAAGGCCACGACATGTTTGCATATTTAAGGTTCTGTTGCAATGCTGAAAATTAAAGCAGGTCCATTAAAATCGCCATTAACCTTTCAAAATGCCTTACTAAGTTTAGCCCTAGGAAAAGAGAGGGGAGGGGGAGGAGCAGGCAGCAAGGGTAGTAAAAAGTCAGAAGATGTTCTGCTGAATTCAAAGAATGGGGCGATGTGGTATTTCTCCTACTGGACTCTTGCAAGCAGCCTTGCATATTGAAGGGCTTAACTGCCTCTCCATGATACTCGAGCAACGTGGTTTAAAAAAACACTGTTTATCTGTACCTGCCAATCATAGTGATGCTTGTTTATCACTGTCTTTTATTCATTCAACTAAAATATTTAAAATCCGCTTTCCTGCCTGACAACAGGTCTCTAGGGCAGCTGAAAATAAATGAAAATGAAAACACTGTATTAGATGCAAACTGATGCATGCTTAATGATTAACTTCAGTTTCACCAGTGGTGTGCAGTCAGAGGAATGGGAATTCGGCTCATCTCTTAAAGGGCCCAAGAGCCCTCCTGCCACCTTCCCAAAGCCCAGGAAACTCCTGCTCTGCTTAGGGAGGGAGGTGCGATGCTAGGAAATTGTGATATCATGTGTGCATCGCTCCCCCAATCGCCCTTGCAAGCTGGTACCTCTGGCCCTAACTGTTCCCCTACAAACCACATGCCACTGAGTCTCACTGATTTCAGTGTGTCTGCTCTAAGCATGACTCGCAATGCAATCCTAACGAATAGCAAGTCCATTGAATTCAAGGGGACTTACACTAAAGTAAACGGGGTTAGGGTTGCAGCCCAGGTCTGTATCCAATTGACAATAAATATAACACTGTATTTTAAAGACTGTGATGACTTAAAACATAAGAACACACAACAGCTTTGTGGGAGAGGGATGAAGAAGAAAAATGCCCTCTGCCCAGGGGTTAGATATTGTTTCTGCTGCTAATTAGGTTGTCCCAGCTGTCCATCTTTTAACGTATCCACATCATATATTTAAGCACCTCCTAAAGCACATGTTGTTCCCCTAACAGTCTGGGGAAGACATGGAGCTACAATCCCCAGCAATAACCTACAGTTCCGAAGATTCTTTGGGGGAGGTCATGTGCTTTAAATGTATGGCATATGGATCTTTCATTTGAATATTCCATGGTGATCACAGAGAAGAGTATCCCCCTTATCTGCATAATCAAATCTCCTTGTTTGTCTATTCATACATGCATAGGAACATTTGTGCTCCTGCAACTATTACTTTAGAATTCACAACTGCAGAGGTTATTGTAATGGATATAATTTTTCTGTCAATACCAACATTGCTTTGCTTATTTTGGGGAAATGAGCAAACACCAATAAATGCCAATTCAAGTGACAACAAATGTTGTTTTAAACTAAATGGCAGACAGTATGTGAGATGGCTTTGGGGCTTGAAGTGGCAGTATGTATTGCTGAAAAATTGTAAAGGTGCTAGCTCAACACAAGGTGAAACTCTGGCCACACCAACCCACTTTACCTGGACCACTTACTAGTAAAGAAATAGCAGGGGAGAAGCTGAAGTTGAGGAGTTTCTGTGCATGGAAGTTGGGGGTTGTGAGAAACTCAACAGGTCTTTGTGGAAGCCAATCACACCAAGAAGGGGAAAAGGTCACAGGCAAATGGCATAGAGTATCTCATCATTGCTCTAGGGAACAATATTTGTGACATAACAACGGTAAAGGGAAGCTAGAGAGGTGACATTTGATGGTTATCCCAAGATGATTTCTTGTGGGAAGGAGGAACAAAGAGAAGTGATTCCCTGAGTTTTCACCATGATCTAGGGGTGCACAATCACAATCTACATGGACAGAAAACACTTCTGCTTATGTAAGGTGTTTTTTATTTTATTTTATTTGACCATTCTCCACAAGCACTTGAGGGACGTGGGTGGCGCTGTGGTCTAAACCATGAGTCTCTTGGGCTTGCCGATCAGAAGGTTGGCGGTTTGAATCCCTGCGACAGGGTGAGCTCCCGTTGCTCGGTCCCATCTACTGCCAACCTAGCAGTTCAAAAGCACACCAGTGCAAGTAGATAAATAGGTACCGCTGCAGCTGGCCACATGACCTGGAAAAACTGTCTGTGGACAAACGCCGGCTTTCTCGGCCTGTAAAGCGAGATGAGCACGGCAACCCCAGAGTTGTCTGCGACTGGACTTAACTTGTCAGGGGTCCTTTACCTTTACCTTTCACCACAACCACTTGAAGTCCTTTGTGCCCTTTCCCAATCTGCTCAGAAGGTTGTGGAGTCCTCCACTACAGCAGGGTGCAGTAGCGGATTGGGGGGGGGGATTGGTGCTACACCTTGCAAGAGAAGAAGTGCTTTCCACTTATGCAACAGCACTCCTGGATTCAAGCCCTTGTACAAGAAGCAATATTAGAATCTGGGTCTGGCCGCCACGGCGAAGGTGGAGACCCATTAAAATCACAGGCGGTAGAAGCCTGTGAACGTGGGATTCGGCGGGCACCTTTTGCGCCTCCCCCACTCGCGGGGAACCCCGGTTTTTGGGGCTCTGGAGCGACGTGGGGCGAGCGGCGCGGTGCATCAAATCATCTGCTTCTTCCACGGAGCGAAGCCGCATAGCTGTTGCCGGAGAGCGCTGACCTTTTCCTGTGGACAATTTGACTTTAAAGTAATTACCCGTGAGTAGAGCGGAAGAATTGGATTTCTAAATGTTTAATTTGGTACCGTAACGGGGAGGTTCAAAACAGGAAGTCCGCCTCCCCCTTTTGTAAATAGACTGAGGCAATGAAGTTGTAAGCTGGAGTCCTGGAAGGTCTTTTGTAAAAGATCAAAGTTCCAACGGTAAAGAACATTGGAGGCAGGAGAAGAGAGGGGGAAGTTGCGGATTGAGTATGCCTGCGGGAGAGAGCGAAGAGACTTAAAACACCGCCGCTCTGACCCTGGAAACGGGCTGCTAGCAGGACTGACGTCTTTTGGAATGTTCATTGACAGCGTTTAGAACGTTCATTGACAGCTAGTTAAATAAGAGAAATACATTGTTTCTACTGTCTCCGGCTGCTTTAAAAAGGAGTAAAAGTAACTGAAAATTGAAACTAATTTGAAACTAATTTTGGATTGTTTAAAAGAGGATACTATTGACTATTACAAATAGAAACTGTTTCCCCCTAGTGGAAGCCTTTGAAACCGGTTGCTTTACAAGAGTTGGACTAGGGGAATTTCCAGCTGCAAGTTAAAAACCGTGAGACTCTGGGACTGACCTTGAATCTTTTAAATGTTATGGTAAATGGAAGAGGAAAAACAGACCAGTCAACTGCTGACAAAACATTAAGGTCTGGGAGGACTTGGTAACAATCCAGGAGAGGTCTATCATTAGGCCCTCCTGTTCTTTCTGTAGCTGTCTTTGTGCTAGTATTTTTAAAACCTAAGAGGAATGTCGACAGAAGAGGCTTTAGTGGCTGCATTATATAAGATAAATGACTCATTGGATCAGCTTCACAGGAAAATGGACACGATAAATGCGAAAGTGGATGTTTCAATTACTAAAATTAACTTAAATACAGAAAGTATAAACAATACCAATACAGAAACCACCCAGAAATCGATACAGGAACCTACTTTGATATGGCAAACTGCGGAGGAGGCCAGGGAAAAAGCCGTTGTCGCTGAACGTGGAGTAACACAACTGGAGAGAAAGAGAAAGAGAGCCCCAGCCCTACAGAGGCAACTTGAGGAACATAAGTTGACGCTCGCTATGACTGAACTTAAAGAAAAACAGACGAATTTGAGGATTAGAGTTCACCTTTGGTGCACATGTCCAAGGATTAAGACACTCTGGGAGATGATTCATAATGAAATGAAAAAGGTATTTAAATATACCCTTTTGAAAAAACCAGAGGCCTTTCTCCTGGGCATGGTCGGCCAATTGGTGTTAAAGAAGGGTAGAATTTGTTTCATGCATGCAACAATAGCAGCAAGAATACTCATTGTGAAGTACTGGAAGACACAAGATTTATCCATTCGGGAAGAATGGCAGATGAAGTTGATGGACTATATGGAATTGGCGGAAACGACTGGCAGAAATCCGAGACCAGAGAGAAGAGCTGGTGGAAGAAGACTGGAAAAAGTTTAAGACTATTTATAGAAATATTGTAAAATTAATGAATGTTAGAAAAATGTTGGAATGAAGTTATATGGCTTTAGTAGAAATGCTATAAGGAATTAAGTATAAATAGATTAATAGTGTATTAAAGGGAAAATAAGGTTAGAATATGTTAAGATAATTATAGGATAGAAAACAGAGGAAGATGGAAAGGAATTGCTGAAATA